ACACTCTGCCATAATTGATCTCGTTATACACTAAACATCTGTAAATGAAAGACTATCATTAACAAGTAGAGATATGCCCGAGTGTGATAGACAGATACTGAAGGAAATAATTTTCTCCATGTGGGCAAAACCAAGATTTCTAGTGGAATAGAAGTTTGAGCTGAGTATTAAAACATAAGTAGACATTTGCTTGTTAGAGAAATGGGTAAGCGGTATGTTCATATAGAGGCCAATATATGTAAACCTTTAAAGAAATGCACTTAGGGAAACATCCCCGGACAGAGAGAGTGCTACAGGAAATGCCTGGGTATGTCTTTGGGAATTTAAATGGAACTAGACAATAAAAGTCATGCAAGGACCGGCTAAATAGCTCAGTGGATTAAAGTGCCTGCAAGCAGATGCAGGGGCAGGGGGTTGGATCCCGGGGCCTGCTGTGCCAGCCTCACCCCTGGGGTGCACTGAGACAGCAATTGAGAGTGGGCGTGGTGGTGTGTGCCTGTAATCCCAGCTCTTGGGAGGCTGTAAACAGGAGAATGACTACGATTCTGATTTATGTAGTGAGACCCTGAACACCATGTACATCCTTCCCTAAAATACAGGGGAAAAAAGTCATGCATATTATGATATGAAATTTAAATTCTTTATTATGAAGGAGCAGAGTCAACATACATTGCCACACTACCCATACACTCAGATGAGTGGCTCCCTGCATGAGGAGTGACAGGAAAAATATCTTCATGAAGGGAAAGGGTAAATTACTGTATTTGTTGAGATCTCACTCTTGTCCAACATCTTTCACATCTCCCCTCAGCCAAGGCCTTTGCTAGGCTGGAAGACACATTGAACACATTAAGAAAAAAAGCATTTTCTTGGAGCACTGTCAGCTCTGTGCTGAGATTTACCAATGAAGGGAGACAACCCCGGCACTCTCTTGCCCACCAGCCCAACGACCTTTGTGCTCGGCAGCCGTGAGACCATCTCACTAGCTCAGTGTATTTCCTATTGAAAGCATGAGTGGAATTTAATTTTTTTAATTTTTACTTTGGGACAATGTCTTGCTAAGTCACTAAGTGCCCAGGCCAGGCTTGAACTTAGAGTCTTCCTGCCTTAGCCTCTCAGAGTGCAGGATGGTGTTTTGAAAGTCGAAGGATCATTATTAATGGTTATGCTCCATCCAGTATAGAGTCTCTCCCCAAAGTGGAATACTTTACTCTGCAGCACATCTGCTGTAACATTGGAAAAAAGGCTCTAGCCCAGGGGACTTCCACTGAACCAGCTGCCCAGTGTAAATCTCTCTCTGGGTGGTGGGAGTGCACTCCAACCCTCCCTTTCACTGCCTCACCTCATTTCCTGTTTTCTGCCCCATTGCTTGGTTTGGCTTAGGCAAATCAACAAGTTCTCTGCTGCAAGCAGACATATAAAAAGAAAACAAAGTTACCTTGCTTGCAGAAAATTCTAGTTTTTACAGATTACTCTCTTTGGACCCTGCCAGTGTACTTCAAGGGTGTCTTAGTTACTTTTTACTCCTTACTACCCGACACTCAAAATGAAGGAAAGAAAGGTTTATTTAGCTCACAGGTACTGGAGGGTTCAGTCCATATTCAGCTGGCTCCAAGGCAAACAACAGCAGTTCATGCGGCAGAAAACAATGAGAGCAGAGGAGGAGCAGCATCTGCAGCGGCGTCCATCAAGCCTCTCTCTTCCTTCCTGCTGCGCTCACTGCGCAGACTAGCACGCCACAGTGAAGATTGGAGCTCCTCGAAGACTGAGACTTCTCCACGGGAGTGGGGCGGGGCAGCAGGAAACCAAGCAGGGGCTTCCTGACTTTCTCAATTCCTGGGCCTTGCCCACCTGAAGGGGGAGGCCCCCATGCTGCCAAAGCTGATTCAGCCAAGTTGACACAATGTATCAACTAATACAAAGGGGAATTAAGGTAATGAACCTCTTGGGTGCCCACTCTCTCCTTTACCTGTGTGTAGAGCATCCTGGAAAGACTGAATGGCCCTAGCTGTTAGAGGGTTAGTTCAGCATACAAAGTCATCAATGACGATTTAGCCTTGGCCTCAACAGACAGCAGCAAGGCATATCCCAACTAAATCCTCCGACAAACAAAAATGTTCTTAGGGACAGTATAGAACAGCAATGGGCTTATTATTACTGTACAAATGGAAAAGAGCCGGGCATGGCGGCACTTGGGAGGCTAACAGTGAGTTCGAGGACTGCCTGGGCTACACTGGGAGTTCAGGGCCAGCCTTAACTACATGGCAAGATTCAGTCTCCATAAAATGGAAAAGAAAATACCAAATAAAGTCAAGAAATCTCTAAGACATTGACTGGCACATGAGAAACAGTCCGGACTAAACCTTCAGTTTGGGGAAGAAAACATTTTGTGAGATAACTCATTTTGCGAGACATAAATCACAAAATGATTAGTAGATTTCACAGAAAAGATAAAATTAATATATAAGAAAGTTGGACGTGCTTGGTAGATATGTGTCTGGTCCTCAGTTCTTTGTTTTTCCCTCTCTGTCCTTAAGTGATCCTTTGGAAAATCATCTCCTTTTGTATACTTGTGGATTCATCACTACTGCTGTTCTTAATACCGATAGCTCAAATAAATCAATGAATCCATTTCCAAAGCCACAAGGGTTGGTTAAGACAGAGGTTGGCAAGCTATAAAGAGCCAGTAGTTACTAGTGTAGGTTTTACGGCTCATAAAGCCCAACCACAAACACAGAACCCTACTATTATAGTGCAAAAATAGTCATTTACAATATATAAACAAATTTCCTGCCTGTGTTCCAATAAAACATTTTTACTGGACACTAAACTTAGAATTTCAATTTTTGTTTATCTCAAAATATTCTTCTTTTGTTTTCAACCATTTATGAAATTTAAAATCTTCCTAATTCGCAGGCCATATAAAAACAGGTGGTAGATCAAGTGCAGCTCACCTGCTCTGTGACTCCTGGATTGAGATACCCTCCTAACATGAGCTAGACCAGTAACACTGGACCCCAGCACTTGACCCAAGATATGAGGACACCAACATTCTCTTCTCACAGAAATACTGGTGTAAAAGAAGTAACAAGTCTCATCATTAAACTTTCAAATTGAAAGATCAGAACTTTATTTTTATTACAATTTTATTTTAAAGAGTATAAACAAAAGCAAGAACAAAGATCAAAAATAGGGTAATATACAATAAAAATGTTATAGATTTTCAAAACAAGAATAGCTGATTAGCAATGGTTGTTATATTATCTATAAGACCAGAACTTTGGAAATATACATGGTGCATGGCTGCGGTGACACAAAGGCCAAAACAGGCTGTTTGAATCACTGGACGCTCTAAAAGACTCTATCACTGGTCTATGGTGATCCTTTAGGGACAGCTGGGTCAAACTTTGCTTAGAGCTAATTGTACGGTTTGTAGCTTTGGTTGTGTGAGCTAAGTCCCTTTATCATTTATGCCAGATTCAGTCAGTTTTCCTATGACTTAAAACACCCTTGAGTAACACAGCCCACAGGGTTCTAGGTGATAGAGCTCAAAAAGTAGAATTGGCTGAGGGCACAATCCGAGGTTGGAGATACCTCTAATTAGCAAAGCAGTTGGTTATCTGTACTGCTGTACAGTTTAAGGCCATCTGCTTTCCAAGGTCTCACCAAAGAGAAAAATTCAGGATATTGGAGACCCGTTGTTTCTTGCATCCGTCAGTAAGGTCTGCTACAAAAGATTTAAACTGATTTGCCTGGTAGCAGAGAAAGAAAGATTAGGTACTGGCTCACACAATTATGGAGTCCTGCAGCAAGCTGAAGAAACAGAAAAGTCCACAGTATAATCCGGTCCAAAGTGTGAGTCCAAAGGTGTGAGAACCAGGAGGTGACAGTGAAAGTCCTAGCTCAATTGCAAAGCCCTCAGAAGGGGAAGCAGGAGATGATGGCACAAGTCCCTGTCCAATCCAGAAGACCCAAGGACAGCAACGGCAATGTCCAGGGGCAGGAGAAGATGCATGCTCCAGCTCAAAGCAAGAGGACAGATTCGCCCATCCTCCACCTCTCTGTTTTTCTGGGGTCCTGAATGGACTGGATGAAGGCTGTCAGCACTGGTAATGGCAGATCTTTATTCAGTCTTCTGGTGTAAGTGTTGATCTCTTCTGGAAGACCTCACAGATCCACCCAAAGAGAACAGCTTACCAGCTGCCTAGGTGATGCTCAGCCCCATCAAGCTGATGCATGGAACACCTTCTGTTCTTGGTGAAGGTGTAGCTGGGATGCATCAGACAGGAAGCCAATCACAGAGGCCTCCGTGCCTGCAGCTACCAGCAGAGGGCAATGTAGTGATACAAGTCAATAAAGAGAAGCACGTGTAGGGTACAAACAAGGGGGGGTGCCCAGCCCCATTGTATCTGACCAATTTTCTGTTTCTAAGTAACTATCTTAAGGAATTAACAAAAAACAACTAGCTCAGAAGCCCTCAAAAATGAGGAGTGGCATCCTCCCTGAAACCTTAAAGCTGTCTAAAAGCAGCCTGTGGCTTGAACTTGGTTTGCACGAACATCATGGGGGCAGAGGGTGTTAAATTACTGCTGTTGGGTCTCACCTAAATCCAATTAAATTTGGAACTTTGAAGGTTACTGATTCTGAAAGACACAAAAACCTCTGAAGTGATTCTACTGTAATTTCAAGGTTGAGAAGAACTGTACCATTTTACACAGGAAATAGACACTTTCTGTAAGAAGTATTCACTCTGTGGAAGGCAGCCAGATACAATCCGGGGTGCCCTGTTAGATTCAAGCTTCAGATTAGTCACAATTCTTATAAGTACATATCACATATTACCTAAGACATATTCTTTTAAAAATTATTATTACTATTAATTTGGCAGTAGTGAGGATTGAGCCTATGGCCTGGCATATGCTAGGAAAGTGCTCTACCACTCAGCTATATCCCCAGCACTTTATTTGGGATGAGGTCCTGCTAAATTGTCCAGACTATCTTCAAACTTGTGGTCCTCCTACCTCAGCCTCCTGAATAGCTGGGATTACAGACATGCATCACCACATCTGCCTTCCATGCTATATTTTTGTTTGCTAACTCTGGTCACCGGAACCTCCAAGCCTCACCCCAGAGATGGATGTGAATAAACTTCCCCTCAAAAGCGGAGGTGTGAACAACAGAAGCTGACCAAGGTTCTCAGCTGACCGCCGGACTGTACCTCTTCGCCAGTTCACTGGCAGGGTTTGCTACATTCTTGCTAACGTAAGCAAGCACTTAACATAGAACTCAGCATTTTATGAAGCTCTCAACAAATGTTAGCCATCATTTTAGGAAAGCTTTACAAAATGCAACTTATATGCATAAACCTGCATCATCTTGATATTTATTTAAGTACAAAAATTTTCAGACCATATCTATTATGATCTGGTTGTAAAATGCTTGGTGTCATTTTCAACATCCCAGGGAAAGGTCTCCAGGGAAACTCCTGGTATGACTGCAGTAGTTTTCCACTTTTGTAGTTTTTGCCTTTTTTTTTTTTTTTACTGTTTTCTCTACCCTCTTTCCAATATTCCTCTCAACTGTAAATTCTTAGTATGGAAAACAAAAATCAATAGACTCAAAGCAAGGACAATGCTGGTTTATCCTTTATATAAGTGGCCTTTCCCATCTTAAAAGCCGAGCTGCACAAGACCATTCAAGAAGCATTTGTTGTGTGATGCATGGTACAATTTTTTTGGAGATCACTAATCACACTCTTTGATTCACATATGGATTCTGAAAAGAGTTGCAGACAAAGGAGCAAGGACAGAAATATCATGAGCAGTCACAGGCAATATTCATTGCATATCAATTTTAAAAATGGGAACAGAACAAAAATGAAATGAGATACATAAACTAAACTGAATGCTAAGGGGGTCCCAAAGTGTAGTTGGGGTTGGAGTAGGACCCATAGAAGAGACGGCCTCTGGAACTGCAGGGTGTGAGGTCTCTTAGCTGCCTCCAGGCAGCCACTCAGGAGTTCAGCTCCAGGTCAGAGATATATTCCTGGACCCAGGGATCTCTGAGGTCAGCACAGACCTCCCGGCCTCTCTTGGTTTGGAAGCTGTGGAGGAAGGGAAAGGAGGCAACACTGAAGCCTTCAACCTGGGATCCCGGGGCCTCCACATCCTTCTCTACAGAGATATTGCAGGGTTTGTCCACATGATGATAAATTATGTCCCTAACCTTGAGGTTCACAGATTCCCCAGGTGTCTCCCCCAGAAAGCCAGCTTCCTGCTGTCCCTCCTCCCCCTCTTCTTACTGCCCAGGAGAAGGTCCTTCAGGATTCCCTGCAGGCCCCAGGTTAGGTCAGAAAACACCGCAGGGTCTCTCCCTTGGACTCCAGACCCCATGGGCCTTAGACAGCCAAGGTCTCTGAGCGGCCTCGCCTTGCCCCAGCCTCCCTCCCTCCCCAGGTGTGGCCAGGGGGACCAGCCCTTACATGACAGCCGCCTTGGGGCACTGGCTGCTCGTCTCATAATAGTCCACCACAAATTTGCGCGGGATCTTCCGGGTGATAAAGAAGAAGCAGCAGGCAGTCGGGGTGTTAGCACCCACTACAACAGAGGAGACAGGAAGATTTCAAGTGATTGTTCACTGGGGAAAAGGCAGGGAAGGCAACCAACACTACTACAGGACAGGGAGCCAACTGGATCCAGACTCCACTTCTCACAAAATCCCAGATGGTCCTCCATTTCCTCATTTGTGAAATGAGAGTCTCTCCTGCTCTGCTTCCAGAACTGAGTAGAATGCCTAAACCCCTCAGGAAGAAAAGGAGCTCCCTATGAGGAGGTCTCAGCCACAAGCTTCCCATTGTGATCCAAGTCAGGGCCAAAGAGGGAGAGCCCAAGAGCAAAAGGCAGACTCACGTGAGGCCCAGCAGGTCTGGGAGAGAAGGGTCTCCATGAGGATCAGGATGGTGAGGCCAGCCGCGGGGACCTCCATGTCACTGGGCAGCAGAGGGTGAGTGAATTCAAGTTGTAGCCAAGGAAGGCTGGGACTTGAGGACACGCAGCTGCTGCTGCCTTCTGGGGTCTAAGACATGTCTTTATAGGAAGCCTCAGGACATAAGCTGGGGGAGAAAGTGGGGGTGGGCCCAGCCGTGGTGCTAGGGTTGTGCTGTGCAGTAAATAAGCCAGGAGAGCTCAGGCAAGTTGCAAGAATGGGTCCGTTGCTTACTTGACAGGGAAATGGTTTGCACAGAGTAAGGAGGTGAGATGCTGGTGTCACCCTGAGATAAATTTAGCTGCTGCCTTCTCACCAGAGCAGAACTAAAGTAAAAGCATTTCTCCCACAGAGCTGAGCCCCCTGCTAGCTTCTCCAGCAAGCCCAACCGCATGGATGTGTTGGCGCTGATGCCACCAACTCTTGACCCAACATAAGGCCACACCCTGGATGGAGACAGCAGGACTGGGGAAGCTTCAGCTACAGGAGAGGCACATAAGAGGTGGCTTCTAAAACATTGGTTCATTCCTCAGATGTCTGCACTTCTGCACAAGGCCAGTCTCTGGATTGGCTGTGTTAACTGGGGCATGACAAGAATAACAAGATTTGGACCAGAAAAGTACTCTTCCAGGGATCTGTCTTACACTATGAACACAGAGATGATGAAAGTTGTATGCACAACAGTGTTTCTCACAGCTCATTATAACAATTAAAAGGGGGTTTATTGGGGCCAGTGAGATAGCTCAGTGGTCTAAAGCACCTGCTTAGGCAAACAGGCAAGCATGCAAGGACCGCAGTTCAATCTCTGGCACTACATGCTGCATCAGCCCTGCCCCCAGGGTGGGCTAACACTTCCTTTTTGTTGTTAATGGTTTTTCTTTTTTGTGACCAGGTCTTGCTATGCAGCCCAAGATAGCCTGGAAGTCGTGATTCTCCTGCCTTAGCCTCTCAAAGCCTGGGATTATAGGGATGCACCATCACACCTAGCTCTGTTTAAAGTCAAGGTGAATCCAGGTGTAGTGGTGCAAGCCTGTAATCCCAGCACTAGAGGAGGCTGAGGCACGAGGATTGTCATGAATTGGAGACCAGCCTAAGCTACAAAGTGAGCTGAAGGCCAGCCTGAACTGCATAGCGAGACTCTGTTTCAAAAAGACAAAAATAAATATAGTAAAAGTGAGCACTTCCTGCATTTGTCTAGCAGCTCAATAATGTCCTCAAGGACTTAGCTTGTTAAGGAGCCTCCCCTACTGCCCTTGTTTTATTGGATTTTCTTCTTGGGTCTGTCACTTCAGGACCACAGAAGGGCTGCCAGTCCTCAGGCATCATCCTCACCAAGGCTGCTCTACAGACCTAGGACAGCGTCTCAGAGAAGTACAGAAAAGCAAATGTCTCTAATGTTTTAAATTCAAATTATTGTTTTCCATCACCTATAACATGAACTATAAGTTAGTGCTTCAAAAGTAGTAAAAGCTGATTTTTTAAATATGCAAAATGTAAACAAAGATAGAAACTGGTTTAGTATGAGGAAGCTGAGTAAGGAGCAGGACAAACGCAAGTAAAAATGTGCCAATTCTCCTCTACATTCTTGCCTTCCCATCACGGCATATATGAATCCTGAGATATAATCTGAGTAAACATTTTTCCTTGAAGGCAGGAAAAACTCTATCATCCAAACCTAACCACATCTAGTACCAGGGAGATGGCTCAGTAGAATAAGCACCTGCCTGGCGAGTGCAAGGTCCTGAGTTCAATCCCCGGTACCAAGAAAAACAAAAACAAAAACAAACCTATATAAAAAGTAAAGCCATACTAATATGCTGAGCTGTAAAAGGCTCAAGTCAACAACTTCTGACACTGCAGTCTTGTGGATAACCTGCTACTATTATAGACTACTGGACTATATTGGATTACTCTGCTGAATTCACGCACCTATAATATATGAATGGCAAGGGAATACACATCTCTCACAAAAGTAAACAAAAAAGGCGATATAAATGAAGGATCATTTTGTAGTGGAAAAAAATATATATATCTGTATATGCAGCTACTTTCTCTTAGTTCAGTGAGAAGAAGGTTTTGAACTATGTTTAGACAAGATATCATGTCTGCACCTTGTACCAGGAATAACTACTGCAAAGACAACAATATGCAATATATTAATTATCGTAACTGTACTACTAACCCATTTTGAAGCTATCTTATTGATACTTCTCAATAAAATTATTAAAATATAAAAAACAAAAAACAAACCTAACCACATCTAACATTTCTATTTATTTCACGTGCATTTTTCTTTCCTTTTGTATTACTATGTTTGCAACATATAATAGTTAAATTTTTCTTGAGGAATTAGTACACCTACAGATTGTACCTCAGTCATTTTTACTTCCTCTTCTCCCTCATCTCCCTCCAATCCCAGACCCCCGCACACCTTCACAAAATCTACATCTGTTCCTATCATCTATCTTTTATTTCACTCTTAAATTATTTATGCTTTGGATCTCTCATGTAAGAGAAAGTCAAACCTGTGTCTGACTTATTTCACTTAGCATTATGGTCTTGAGGTACAAATGACTCAGTTTACCTTCTTAATAGCTCTATTGTGTACATGTACCCCATTTTCTTTATTCATTCACCTGTTGGTGGACCTATAGGCTGATCCCAAGATGCAGCTATTGTAAGTTGTGTGGCTATAAATTACTGCAACCACTATGGAAATCAGTGTGGAGAGTCCCCCAGAAAACTAAGCATAGACATTCTATTTGACCCAGTTATAATGTCTTCTGAACATCTTCACAACAGTAATACATGCATGCTCATATTTATGTATTATTTTACTTCTTATTGTGTATCAGGGGAAGAGGGTACGTTATTGTGGTCCAGATATACATGGAATTTCTTATTTGCATTCTTATTTGTATTTAAATGAAAAAAACTCTTACAAATCATTTCAGTCTGTTTAAGTTATCTGATTTACTCAACTGTCAGCCTTGTACATTAATATCATATATATTTGGACTGGTTCCAATTTTTAATCATGTTGAGAATACCATAGCAAATGTTTTATACAAAAATTTCTTCCATGAGAAAGACAGCCTCTTTAACAAATGGTGCTGGAAAAACTGGCTCTCTACATGCCGAAAACTCAAACTTGACCCGGGTCTATCACCATGTACTAAACTAAA